TCCAATAGATTTACTGTTTCTGTTTTAATATTTAGGTCTTTGATCCATTTTGACTTAAGTTTAGTGCATGGTGAAAGACATAGGTCTAGCTTTAGTCTTCAGCATGTGGAAAGCCAGTTTTTCCAGCACCATTTATTAAAGAGGCTATCTTTCTTCCAGTAAACATGTTTGGCTTCTTTGTCAAAGATAAGGTGATTGAGTGCATTTATAGTTGTGTCTGTATCTTCTAATATGTTCCACTGATCCTCAGGTCTGTTTTTTAGCCAGTACCATGCTGATTTTATAACAGTAACTCTGTAGTATAATTTCAAGCCAGGGATTGTGATGCCTCTTGCCTTGCCTTTGTTGCCCAGGACTGCCTTCGCTATTCTAGGTCTTTTCTGTTTCCAAATGAATTTTAGGAATGTTTTCTCTAGATCTGTGAGGTGTGCTAATGGTATTTTGAATGCATTAAATCTGTTTAACAATTTTGGAAACATGGCCATTTTCACAATATTGGTTCTTCCTATCCATGAACAAGGAATATCTTGCCATTTTCTGATAACCTCTTTGATCTCCTTTTTCAGAGTACTATAATTTTCAAGGTATAGATATTTTACTTCCTTTGTTAGGTTGGTTCTTAAACATTTCATATTTTGAATGCTATTGTAAAGGGTGTTGTTTCTCTAATTTCTCTCTCAGTGAGTTTGTGTATAGGAATGCTGTTTATTTTTGAGTGTTGACTTTGTATTCAGCTATGCTACTGAATTTGCTTATTAATTCTAGAAGTCTTATGGCAGAGTTTTTGGGGTCTTCTATGTAGAGTATCATGTCATCTGCAATATTCCACAAATTTTGATGTGGTGAATTTTCATTTTCCTTGAATTTAGTATATTTTAAAATCTCTCTTGGTACTTTGGCTCATGGATTGTTAACAAATTTGTTCTTCAGTTTTCAAGTATTTTGATAGTTTCCTCTTATCTTTCTGTGATTGATTTTTAGCTTAATTTCATTGTAGTTGAGGAATGCATTCCCATGATATTCTGTTAAACTTGTTGAGATTTGTTCTGTGGACCAGCATGTGATCTATTTTGAATAATGTTCATGTGCCCAGAGAAAAATGTTTATTCTGCTCCTGTTTGGGAGAGTGTTCTATAAATATCAGTCAAATCTTATTGGTTCCTGGTCTCATTGATCCTTGCTAATTTTCCACCTAGTTGTTCTATCACTTGTGTTGTGGACCTGTGTCTTTCTTCAGGTCTATCAGTCTCTGCTTCACATACTGCATCTCTCTATTTGGTACATGCACATTAGGGTTGTATTGTCCTCTTGGTGGATGGATAGACCTTTTATCATTTTGTAGTGTGCTTTTCTGTCTGTGTTCAAGGATAATGTCTATTTGTAGAACAATAGTTATAGAATAACTTTAATCATGTTTTATCTTCAAGTACTCTCTTTCTTCTATTCCTTCCATTCTACTATTGAACGTATCCAGTGGATTTTAAAATATTTGTTACTGTATTTTTTGGTTCTGAAATTTCCTTTTGGTTTTTCTTTGTAACTTCTTGTTGGCTGAGATTTTCTCTTTTCCCAAGCTTGTCCATAATTGCTTTTTCAGTTCCAACTCTGAGAATGCAAGAGGCAAAAGGAAGTCTCCCACCTGAAGACAGTAAGTGTGTCACAAAGTTCAGGGTAATTTCTTACAGAAGCAATAGGGTGACACACTATAGTACTTCTCTTGGAAACTACGAATGACAGTCTCCCAGGGAACTAGCTCACTGCTGTGTCATTCCTAGCCAATTTGCTTTCTTTCTCTTTTCAGAGTCTTTTACATTTGTCTTATGGATGATTTGCAGGGCTCTTAGTTGTATGTAAGCACTCTTATCTTCTCAGAATCAGAGGTTCCCTCACAGCACTTGATTTTAATTCAGTGAGACCCAGTCAGGCTCTGGACCTCCCACCTGAAGACAGTAAATGTGTCACAAAGTTCAAGGTAATTTCTTACAGAAGCAATAGGGTGACACACTATAGTACTTCTCTTGGAAACTACGAATGACAGTCTCCAAAAGGGGTATAAATTTAAGCTTTCTTTTTTGTCACTTTTAAGGGTTAGGGGCAGCCATAAGGGAAACAGGTATATTCATGTTTATTAGAGGGTCACCAACCTGTAGGGGTAAAAAGAAGCTCCCATGACATAAGAGGGAGTTACACCGAGAGTGGTAAGAACCTGTCAGTGGCACAAATGGGGCTGCTGAGGAGTCTCTTTCAGCTCGGCCTGTTTAAGGCACAGTCCTTTTTCCTTTGTTGATTGTGAAAGCCATCCATGATACTCTCTTGGAGCCATTCTTCTTCTCTTCCTCTTCTTCCTTTTCCCCGCCCCTCCTTCTTTGCTTGGCAGCACTGGGGATTGGACCCTGAGACCCATCCTCAGCCCTATGTACATTTTGAGACAGGGTCTCACTAAGTTGCTAAGTGCCCAGGCTGGGCTTGGATTTGCAATTATTCTGATTCAGTCTCCCAGAGTGCTGGGATTACAGACCTATGTCACTACACCTGCCAGGAGCCAACCTTCTTTGGACCCCTTCCTGTACCAAGTCTGCTTCTCTAGAAGCCTAAATTACTCAGAGAGATATAACTTAGGTAGAACAGCGTGCTGCTGTTGTGGACCTGTGTCTTTCTTCAGGTCTATCAGTCTCTGCTTCACATACTGCTGCTGAATGCAGCTAAGTTTGGATGTGGATCCTGGTACCACATCTTGCTAGCTTTGAGTCCCTGGAGTTCATTCATTCACTTCAAAACAGGTCTGTGCTGCCTGCTCTGGGTCAGCCACTATGCTGCGCTCACGGCATGTGGTGGTTAGTACCATCGCTGCTTTCTTTGCTTCTCTTTGTAACCACCAGAGTCTGATTGGTTTTACTTAAAAAACATATCTAAACCCAGACTGCTTTTCTCCACTGACTGAGTTTTCTCCTAGGCTGTGATAGGTACCCTAATCTTACTTTTTTCCTGGAATCTTTTGGCCCAATTCATTATCTGCACAGTAGGCAGATGATCTTTTGAAAAACATGCATCAGACTATTATTCCCTTGCATCAGACCCTCCAGTTATACTGAGCTATAGAGCAAATAACATCCAGCACCTCCTCGTGCCTAGGAGGCCCAAGTGTTCTGGTTTCTGCTTGCCTTTATGAGCTTCTCTAGCATCTCCTCCATTCTCCTCACTTCAGTCCATCCACACTGCCTTCTTTCTCTTACTGAAAATATTAAACTTGCCTCATCCTGGGGCCATTACGCCAGTAATGTTCTCTGCCTGGGAGAACTTTTCTGTACAGATCTGAAAGGCTGGTTCTGTTGTTACTCAGGCTCAGTCAAGTACTGTTCCATCCTTCCTCTCCAGTTACTTTTTATCAAATCTCCTGTGTTCTCCCCGTCCCCAGCCTCTGACTTAGCTTTTAATACAATTTGAAATGATCCTTTATTTGTCTACTAAACCAAGAGCAGGCATTGTGATGCTTCCTTTATTGCCTTCTGTTCAGGGCCTAGAGCAGTTCCTGGCACAGAGCAGTAAATATTTGTTGATTTAAATTGCTTAATTCTCCTATGCCTCTGTTTCTCACCTGTCCTGTATAGTAATTGGCCTTAAAAAAGTTTCTATTTAGATTTAAGTAAGATAAACACATATGGGGTATATTTAGTTCACTGTTTGGCTCCTATTTTGTCTCATAATAACTTGTCATTGTTTCAATGTGATTATTTCCGTTACCATGTTCACTCACATTCGCAGGTCCTCCTCCAGCTCATGTTGGAGCTGATGATCCATACAGAGTATTATGATCACTGGCCAGTACAGATGCTGACCTGGTGGATGCTTGCAATTAAATTCTAACTTAGTTCTCTCTTGACCGTGTTTTTCCATACAGGTCCTGCAGCTGGGCTCAGACATCCTTCCCCAGTACAAGCAAGAGGCACCAAAGACTCCCCCTCACATCATCTTACACTATTGTGTTTTTAAGACCACGTGGGATTGGATCATCTTGATCTTGACTTTCTACACAGCCATCTTGGTCCCTTACAATGTCTCCTTTAAAACCAGGCAGAACAATGTGGCCTGGCTGGTTGTGGATAGCATCGTGGATGTCATCTTTTTGGTGGACATTGTGCTGAATTTTCATACAACCTTTGTCGGACCAGCAGGGGAGGTGATTTCTGACCCCAAACTTATCCGCATGAACTACCTGAAGACATGGTTTGTGATTGACCTTCTGTCCTGTTTGCCATATGATGTCATCAACGCTTTTGAGAACGTGGATGAGGTTAGTGCCTTTATGGGTGATCCAGGGAAGATTGGTTTTGCTGATCAGATTCCACCACCACTGGAGGGGAGAGAGAGTCAGGTACATCCTCAAATCTCAGACCTTGTTGTCATGTCTTTAATGCTGAATTAGACATGGGTGGTCAACAGAAGAGTAATTGAATGGGTGGGAACTAGCATGACTGATGCAAACAATTGAGGGCGCATGCTTGCCAAATATCCTTGCCTGCTGTTCCTGTCCTTTGGAGGCTTGGAGGCCCTGCATGCCAGTGAATGGGTATGGAAGAGACCAAAGGCCTGCCCTTACTCCTCATGGAGTACAGGCTTCTGGCTCGGGAGGTGAGGCTGCAGGAGCAGCCGTGCATGGCCACTGCACTGGTGGATGTTCATCTTGGTATTCAGTTGTTGAATGTCTACCTATTGCTTATCCTAATGATGGGGACTTTTCTTTTACCTGCTGCTGACTTTTGGCTGTTTTGTAGGCAATTAACTTATAATAACAGATATTACATTATCTCATTTCTTTTTTTCTTTTTGTAAATGTTGGCATAAGTTATTTCTTTGCTAAAATGAATTTTGGAGGTCATTATCTGCTGGGGTGTTCAGTATCTCCCTGTGGTTAAAAGGAATCCATTTTTTGGATTACTTTGGATTGTTAGTCTTGCAGATGATGAAAGATATTAAAAGAAGATAAATACTCCGTGAATATGTTGGAATTAGAACATATCCAAATAGTGATTGTCTGAATGTTTGCTTAGGAGGGTCAGTGTCTCCTTTGAGAAAGCAAGAATGCCAAGTTATTGCATAGAAAAGTTTCAGATTCTCATTTAGTTTGTGTTTGGTGGGAATTATTCTTCCTTTCTTCTACTTCTAGTTGACACTCCAGATGAATTAAGATAAGACAGTTCATTTGATAAGTACTCAGCCTTTCTCAGAGCTGGGCCCTCATTTCCTCAGATTCTGGAGGGTCCCAGGGTGAACTGGGAAGGTGCTCCAGGCGGCCATCTGGAGGTTGAGTTTAAGGAAGATACCTGTAGGGCTAAAGAGCCATGGACTCAACCTTGACGCATCTGGGAGGAACAGTTTGTTCTGCTGAGATCTGAAGACCTGCCCAGTGGCTGTGTCTCTCTGGTGGTATAATGGTGCTGCCCTGCCTTCAGGTCACCACCAGCCCTAGCTGCCTCCTCTGGGGAACAATATGCCACTTCCCTCTCCTGCTGAGAGCAGCTCTTCCTACACAGTGCTGCCACACGGAGCACTGGGAGGAAAGACCTTGGGTGCTCAGCTTCTCTAGATCCAGAGTTACCCCTGCTTCTGTCTGTCTGGTGTTTTTCAATATGCTTTATTTATTTATTTATTTATTTTGGTACCGGAAATCAAACTTGGGACCTTGCACTTGCCAGGCAGGCACTTTTGCCACTGAGCTATATCCCCTTCCCCTGCAGTATGCTTTAAAATCCTGAGGATTAATTCTCTGAGTGACTTGTGTGGATTTTGGAGGGGATTAAATGAGTCAAGATTGATCATTTAGAAGAGCAGAATCACCTCTAATGTAAATGCTGGGATTCTTAAATATCAATTTTAGTACATATGAGGAATGATATTTTTCTCTGTGAGCACATTTATAGAAAATTTTATGTTAGAAAAATATGATGATTCTGGCTTAGGTAATTCAAATGAATGATCTCAGTCTAAAAGAGCTTCTTATACACATATGGGAAATGAAATTTAACTTTAAAATATCACTTGAGTTTATAACATAAACTATTTGCTATTTCTAGCAGTGGCAGTAAAATTTTGCAGATCAATAAAATCATCATTCTTCAGCTTCTCTGAGTTCTAATTAAAAATTGGCAGAGCTGTAATTACACATGTAATATGTTTGGATAACCTGGTAGTTTAACAGAGCTGAGAACTTGTCCCATGGCTGTGTGTATGTTGGGAATTGTGACTCCCCTAATGGTGGCTTCTGATTTCTAGATTTATGAAATAGATTTGCAGTAGGAAAAACCCTACTAGCAGAAGGGACTTCGTAGATGTGGTCAGAGTTAAGGACCTTGAGATAAGAAAGATTATCCTGGGTTTTCTGGCTAGAGCCTGTGCAATATATGAGTCCTCAGAAGAGGAAGACAAGAGAAGCTCAATGTTCATTATTTGAAGCTTTCCAGTTGGTAAAGGATTTAGTATCAAAGCTCTTACTATTACCTTTGATCATAAATAATATAAACAGTAAGGAGTTACTTCTCTAAAGACTTGATTTATATTTGGTAATATTTTTAAGCTTTAGCTGACACCTAGGGTAATACCCTTCAATACCAGCTGTGGTACTGTGGTGGAGATCACTGTGAGAAAAGTGAAAATTTAGTTTCTAGTCCCTTTGGTATGACCTCTTAGGAGAGCTGGGGCCCTAGTGCATGTTACTAAGCTTTTCTAGACCACAGTCTTCATGTTTACATCTAGGTTAGTTCTACTTGAGCAGTCTGGAAGGCGTGGTGTTCAGGCAGAGGGCTCAACTCTGGGGAATTGTAAGTCTCATCTGCACTAACCTCACCTACTGAAGCTGACTGTAAAAATGAGAGGCCATGCCTCTGTTCCTTATCTACAGTGGGTGGGAAGAAGAAGAGGTGGTTCGGGAAAAGCCTGGAAAAATTCCCCTGGGGAGAATTCTGATTATGGTTTAGTGGGTTCATCTTCACCATCTCCTTTGACTCACTGTCAAGTTTGTCTAGTTGCTAATAGACTGTTGCTCCATCTCTAGATTTTTCTCTGGGAGAATAAGGGGCAAAATAGGAAATTATTCACTCATTTCTCATAAAAATACATGGAGCTTAGTTTTCCCTGTTGTCCTAGTTATACCGATGGACTGCATGCCAGTGGGGACCACCAAAGAAGAGGGACTTTGCCACTTCTGAGTGTGTGTGGACTGGGGTTAGGGGTCTTGAAGTGAAAAGATTGGAGCCACCTGGGCCTGGGTCAAGAAAGAACTGGCTTAAATTCTTAATGCCTACAATTGTGAATTCAGCCCCGTAGATATCGCCCCTCCATGATTTAAGCCACACAAATGATTCCTTTGGCTCAACTTGTTTCACTTATGCAGATGGCTTCCATTTGCGTCATTCTCCAGCCTGTTGGTAATAATCTGTTTTGGAGGCTGTTTGGGAATGTGCACATTAGTTAAACTCATTAGAGGACAAAAGGTCTGGAAGCTGAGTGAACTAGTGTTTGGAATGGGTATGTGAAAGTAAAAGCCAAATGAGCCTCTTTCAAGTGTTCAGTGGATTGTAGGCCTAGTTGCTTCTTGGATTAAAATGGAATTATTCCTGACAAAGCGGATTCCCTCTCCTGAGGAAAGCTTGTTGCTTATTACTGTTGGAGTGTGGAAGCCCAAAGAGGAAAAGTGGAGACAACTGTGCTTCTCCCTGGGGTACAATTCTGATGCCCCGGAACTGGAGCTGACCGAGAGACTCTTCTGTCCCTGGCTCTGTAACCTCAGGCAGCCGTACAAGCAGCTCCACTTGCTGAAAGCCCACTGTCATGGAGATGCCCGCATTAGAGCAGGACAGGAGCAAGGTGGGGAGATGAAAAGGATTAACTCTGAGGGCAGCTTCCCTTGGCCTTGCACTCTTAACTTTCCCAGTACTTCCATGCTGTGTGAAGTGGAGAAACTGACAGAACTGGGAGGAAGGTGACATGTGACCCCGCTGTCCATCTCTCAGGACTTGCTTTGCCTCGCCTATATGTGATGAGTCCATCCCAGCACTCACGTTTTGTGGCTGGTGAGGAGCAGTTATCTCTGCTTTTCAGGCAAGAGGAAAAGGGCAGGTTGTCGTTGGCCTCGTAGCACAGCACTGACACCTCTGTCTTCCATTTGTTGAAAGGAGAGGCATGTTCCTTGCAGTCCTTTCTCCATAAGCACAGGCCACAGAAGACTGATAAATAAACAAGTCAAAGGAAAAGTTATAGACAGCATCGCCAGGACAGGAGTAGTTGTGGCATTGCTAACATCTCTGACTAAAGTTCAGCCACTGGCCATTGCTGGCAAGGTAAAATGATCGCGACAGAAAAAAACCCATCAGCAGCACTTCTTTCCATTAACAAGACAAGAGGATGAAAACTCCACTGGTTTGGTTTTGTCTTCTTTTTCCAAAATAATTGCGTGGCAGAAGTAGTCAGTACAAGTATAAAAGATAAAAATGTCAAGGAAAAGAGGATGAAATCTGAGACTACTACAGCATTATTGGGTTTTTCTGCCCATTGTATTGTCAGACACAGCAACTTGTATGAAATGCCACTGGTTTTTATTCAGAAGCCACCATAGGCTGCTGATGTGTATCAGTCTGCTCCCCAGGGTCTCACCTCCTCTAGTGTCCAGGAGACCCCCCAGAAGAAGCAAATCCCACAACAAGACCTGTACTGATTGGGTCTAAAATACCCAGTATGATTTAGTAATGACCTTTTAAAATTGCTATTACTGATTAAATCATGGTACATCCATATAATGGCATATTATTCAGCAAAAATAGATACGAGCTATCATGCCACAAAAGGACATGGAGGGAAGTTAGATGCATACTGGTAAATGAAAGAAGTCAACCTGCAAGGCCTACATACTGAATAATATCAATGCTGTGATGTTCTGGAAAAGGTTGCCAGGAATTCAGAGTAGAGGGAAGAGTAGAGGGAAGAGCACAGATATTTAGGGCACTGAAACGACTCTTTGTGACTGTGTGTTTCTGTAATGCTGGGCTCATGTCCTTAAACACTTGGACAAATGTGTATAATATATAGCACAGAGAGTGTCCCTAATGTACCCTAGTGAACCCCATGAACTTCAGCTGATAATAATGTATCAGTATTGGCTCACCAGTTTTATAACAGATGTACCACAGTAACTGAGACATTAATGACAGAGAAAATTCTATGTATGTGGAGGTCTCTATACTTCTTACTTCATTTTTTATAAACCAACACTGCTCTAAAAAGTCTATTAACCCCCCACCCCCAACTTACTATTATGAGGCCCAGGGATTGCCTGTATTGCTGGGACTCTAAACAAAGCCCTAGTCATCTCATGACTTTCAG